TGGCTGCGAAACTATCATTCCCGGCCGCGCATCTCGACCGACGCCCCTCCAGCGCCGGCCGTCCGTCAACCCCAGCCTGCGGTCGACAACGGCAGCCTAGACAAGCTCGACCAGCTTCTATCCTATCCGGTGGTCCCAATGGAGGGCGATGGGTCGCAGCCCACCCAAGGTATGCCATGCCTTTTTATTACGTCCCATCTTGAGCTTCAAGCAAGTTGTCGCCGTAGACCCAGCAGACCAGGACGCTGACCCTTTGCCCCCCTTTTCGCCACCTAGCTACCCAGAATGTTCTCGATCCGCGCCGCATAGGCAAGCAGAATTCGGGCTTCTCCGACGAGGACATATCCGACATTGTCTGCCTTCTCTACCCTCACACTAAATCAGCCCGAGGCGAGGTAGAACGCATAGCAAAGGATCGCTCGCCTCATGTTGTCGGCAGGGCGGAAGCGGATGCCGTCGAGCCCGACTACGAAAGAGAAGATACGGCCGACCAATTCCAGCTGACGCCGCCCAGCGTCGAACATGCCATCATATTGAGGTTGTCGGCCGAGACGAAGGATCCCCTTCGCGGTTTTCTGTTTGGCAGAAATGTGGCTCGGTGCGATATTTGCTTTCTCAAGGACCCTATGAAACGCCTGAGCAACGTTCACTTTCGCATCTATGTTAATGAGTATGGTGTGGTCATGCTCGAGGATAAATCAACCAACGGGACCTTCGTCGACCAGGTGCTGCTGCGCTCGAAGCCTAAGAGCCCCAACGAGAAGTGCGACATGAAGAGGGTGCTCAGTCACGGTTCTAAGATCAAGGTGCTGATGCATAACGAGCAGCACGACCTCGAGTTCATGGTCAGGATGCCGAAGCGAGTGGGTGATTATGAGAGGGCGTACAATATTAAACTCCAGCGATACTTTGCTAGAATGGAAGGTTTGCGCGCGTCGGACGTCAACGAGACATTGGTCCCGGGCCCTGGTGGGCATGTCGACTTATTTTCTGCTCCTAGGAGACCGCAGACCGCCACTACGCGGCGGATAGCGCTGCCGTCCGGAACCACGCAAGATAACGTCGACCGGTTTCCGAGAGACTGGGACGGGTCCGGTAGGTACAACCGTGTCAGCCAGATCGGCAAGGGAGCCTTTGCGGTCGTGTACAAGGTCACGTCCAAGTTCGACGGTGTCCCATACGCCGCCAAAGAATTAGAGAAGAGGCGGTTCATCAAAAACGGTGTTCTGGACCAAAAGGTGGAAAATGAGATGAGGATCATGCAAAAGGTTCAGCACGTAAGTTCAGCAGCGCCCCCTTTTCTTACGTTGAACCCCTCTAACTCCAAATAGCCGAACATTGTACGATACATTGAGCATCTCGATTGGGACAATCGGCTCTTTATCATCATCATGGAGTACGTCGGAGGTGGTGACTTGGGGAAGCTCATCAGCGGCCGAGGCTGTCTGAATGAGATTAGCGTCAAGCAAATGGCTGCCCAGCTGCTGAGTGCTTTGGCGCATCTGCACGAAAATCACATTACGCATCGAGACGTCAAGCCTGACAATATCCTCATTTCGTCACTTGACCCTTTCGAGGTGAAGCTGACCGACTTTGGCCTCTCCAAGATGGTCGATAACGAACAAACCTTCCTCCGAACATTTTGTGGAACGCTGTTGTATTGTGCGCCCGAGGTATACTCGGAGTATGCCGAGTACGACGACGACGGCCGCCGACACCCTCGTAATAGAGCTAAGCGCGCGGCGGTTGGCCAGCGATACGACCACGCCGTTGATGTTTGGTCGCTCGGTGGCGTGCTCTTCTATGCGTTGACAGGTCGCCCGCCGTACCCAGTTAACAACGGTGTCAGTTACTCGGAATTGTTGCATACCATCATGACGGTGCCCCTTAACACGGTCCCTTTGGTACGACAAAACGTTTCCAGGCAAGGCATTGAGTTTCTGTGCTACATGCTAGAGAAACGGCCTGAATGCCGGGCGACTGTCCGCGACCTTCAGTCACATCCCTGGTTAGGACCGTACAGGCTACGATCTGTGACCGACTACGACCAGTCCTTTGACGAAATCACCGACGAGGACGAAGAGCTGCAAGTCAATGCGTCCCAACTCAGTTTGGAAGAAGGGCAGTCAAGGTATCTGCCTGATACGGAACTGCCACTAGATGACGAGGTGGACGATGATATTGTCAATGACTTTCTCGAGGAAGACTCAGAAAAGGAGAACGGCACATTCGGCCCTCGCGGACAGGGTGCTGGTCCGAGACTGTTTGGAGAGGTGAATGTGTCTGCGGTGGGAAGCAAGGGAGCGATACCGGCAGATCGACTAAACCTGCCAGTGGCCGACTCGGGCGTTCTCGGCAACGAGAGCGTAGAGACGGAAATACTGGATAGCTGCGACTCTGGCGACGTTTCAACAATTATCGGCAAAAAGTCACCCAGCAGTGGCGGAGTCCGATTGTCCATTTCGTCAGCCAATGGCCAGTCTGCGGATCAACTTCGAAGTTTGGTTGAAAACGTCGCGTCTCAAAGTCTGGGGGCGACCGATTTCGGTAGCGATATCCAGATGAAGTCCGCGGATGTTAGTCAAGTCAACGGCTCATTCTTTACCGCCAGCAAACGGAAGCCGCCATCATTCGATACAAGCGACGAATTCGAATCACGGCCGCGCGAAAAGCCAATCTTCAAGCGCCTGAAGTCAGAGGGCAACCTCGACGCGTTAGCAGAGAAACAGATGGAGGAGTACAGCCTGCTCGCGTCAGTACCGCAGATTAAGAGGTTGGAGTCTGGACGCCAGATAGACGGACCCTTCAACAAGATGAACTTTTGGAAGAATAACGTCGAAACATGGCATCTACGCTACCCTGAGATGACCCAACTACAGTACGAAACGTTCAAAAAGGCAGCTCAAAGCCGAGGAGAGGAGTTTGGTCCGGGAAAGACTCCATTATGGGAGTTGGCTTTCAAGTACTTTCCGCCAAACAATGGTGTCTCGGCCATGCACACCGAGGAACAGTCTACAATTGACGACACGAATCGAGGTTTACTAAAGCGAGACGACAGGAAATTGGTGGAGGGTGCAGAATGGGATATCCCTGCGACAGCACCTCCAGAAGAAGAAGAAGAAGAGGAAGATTCGCTACCAGACACCCTTCCTCCAGACACACAGAAGATAATAGTGCCCGTTTCTGACGACGGACCGAAACGTGCCGTCGCTGTGCTGGAGTCAGCCCCTGGGTCAGTGGTCTCCAACATTTCGGTCCCCATGACCAATTCACTGCTGTCATGGGGGCGTGGGCCGACCAATACAGTGATTTACGAGCAGAAGACAGAGATTCGGGTGCCTAAGTATGCTCTCAAAATTCTGTTATGGAAAGACGGCTACGATCCCTCCAGAGACGTCACCAAGCATCCCTGGGACAAGAGTCCTGACGGCAAAGGGTTCGCCTTTTATCTGTCTACAAAGGCAACAAATGGTGTCCAGGTCAATGGAGTCTCGCTTTTGTCATACGACTGCAAGAATCCAGCCGGCCCATCTAAGAACTGGGTCCAGCTCTATGATGGTGATGAGATTGTTGTCTGGGGGACCGCCGCTGACACGACGAGCCAGACCAAGGTTACTTTCCGCTGCTTCTACGGAGACTCTGCCTGCCGGCGACCCGATGATGTGCCGCCTAAGCTCGTACCCCCATCGACTGCGCGTAGAGTGGACGAGGTCTGTGGTCGGTACGAAAGGAAGCTCAAGACGTCGGCGGAGAAGAACGCCAAGCTTGCCGAGGTTGACAGGGAGTTTGCGGAGCGCAAGCAGAATATTGAGAGGGAGCGCGAGCGTAGCCGCGCTTTTGAGGAGAAAAGACTCGAGGCGCATCGTCATATCGCGCTTAGGAACCATGTTTCGAGGCGGGGGAGTCCCGCGAGCGCGCCAGCTGCGACTGTGCTTAGGGGCCAGACGCCTGGCGGCGGCGGCGGTGTACCGTCCCCGTTGGGAGAGCAGGCGAGCAGCAGTCCGAAGAATTAGGAGTCTCTCGAGAAGGAAGAGGATTCTGGTGATCTAGGCTATGATGCCCGGCAGATACCGACAGACTTGATGTACGACATGGGCGAGAACGACGTCGACATCAAGTTTGAGTCAACGCAAGAGTTCAGTCAGGGAGGTGGGGGTGAAGAGATATGATATGGTGAGGGTTCTGGATAGCGTTATTTGTTATAGGCGCCTCTTCCTGTCTCTGTTGGAGGTTTATGAACCAGCGCGTATTTCTATATATGCGCAACGGCAAATTCCCTGCACCGTCAATAGCCCTCTTTCTCAGAGTTCGGGTTATCGCGGCGGAGGCTACACGGAGCTTGTGTGTTGGTTGGCACGAGAAAAGAAAAAGCGATAAAGGGATAGCGGGTTAGAGAGTAGATGAAGTATGAAGAGAACAAAATCTCATGAAGAAATACAATAAAACAGCATTACCAAGACCTACTACCGGGTTCCCTTGGTATCTTGTGCTATGGATCAACGTAATGGTACGAAGTTGAGCGGTGGATCAAGATAGATTTGGTTGTTGAAACATTTGAGTTTGCACAGGTGTCCCCCCCCCCTCTCCCTGGACACACATCTTTGTGATACGTCGCCGTTGCCAGAAACCTGCAAGGCAGACAGGTTGCACATTGCCTCACTGGCAGCGTCTCACGCAGGCGCCAATGAAATTAATCAGACCAAAGTCCGGGATCTTCTTGCAAGAATCGCAGACCGTTCTCAATACACACAGTACACATGCAACGCTGCTTTTTGAAAAGATGGAAGAAAAAAAAAGCCTTTGATCATTTGAAAAACACCTTCCGGGTCATGCTTACATGTCTAGTATACAGCTTGGGTATAGCAATATCACAAACCTCGCCACTTCTTCGTCTGGGGCTTGCGGCGAAAACGGGCTGTGCCTTGTATTCGAGCCCTTGCTCCAATACACCCCCTCCTCCCAAGGATCGTGCTCTTGACCCCAAAGGGGTGTATGCGACTTTAACCGCGGTTGAAGAGGCGGCCGACCATACCGGTCGCGATGCTCCCTGCCAGACCGCCAGAGTACAGGGCGCTTCCGGCCATGTTGGACGCGTGGCTGAACTTGTCGCATCTCGAAAAGGCCATGGCGTTCATAATGGTCAGGACCAGGGCGATGACTACAAACACACGCCAGAGTTAGCACGCTTTTGCTACGGTATCGAGACGATGTTTTCGCCCAGAAAGACTCTAGTATCATCGCAACGAAAGCTGGAGAATAAGGCTTAAACCCGTCATCCCAAGGGATGACGGTGGACCAGCCAGAGAAACGTCTCGAGGAAAAGAGCAAACTCACCAACGAGCGGTAGCCACAGGAACTGCAACCTCACGAGCGCAAAGACGGCGAGCAGGATCCAGAGGACGGGCTGGACGTAGAGCGCGAGCCAGAAGAAGCGGCTGTCGGTCGGGTTGATCGTCTTGGTGCCGGGCTCGCTGCTCTCAAAGACCCACTGCGAGTCGCCCGTCTGCACGTCCACCTCGTTCCACCACCGCAGTCCTACGAGTCGACGGCCGGCAATGTTCTTCAGGTAGTAAAAGTCGGCGGCGAGGAGGAGGATGGTGATGATGAAGATCATGATCCTGAGGAAGGGAAAGTTATGGTTAGCAAACGGGAGCAAAACGGATGTAGGGCATAGTGTTTGTTGCGATGAGCGCCGTGGGTGTGGGTACGCGAGTATCTTGGCCCAGGACATGTTTGATGGATGGAGACAACAGCTCGAGAAGTTCGAGGTGGTTTGTGGAATTGGTTTCGTTTCGAGGTTCGAGAAGGGAGGGGGGGGGGGGAGCTTTGCGACGACGTACATGCTTCTGATGATCCACAGACCGAGGAAGTACACGAGTACACTTGCTGTTCCCACAAGAGCATGTCAGTCAAGGTTCCAGTAGAGATCAAGGCGGTGGAAAGGAATCCAGGAGCTTGATGTGTGACTAACATATCCGAAATGCAAGAAAGGTCAAGAGGGTGATGGGATGCGAGCTCAACCGCCAGCTCAGGGAGCCTGGCGCATCTTGCTGCTGTTGGGATTCCATCTCGGTGTGTCGACTAAGACGATCGTTCGTTTCGATGGGGGGCCGTCGCACTAGGTAGGTATCGTATCTTTATAACTTCAATTGCCGAACTTCGGTTTTTTGGGCAAAATGGGAGATGATAACGACGCAATCAGGGGTTTGATTTGTTCTTCGTCGTCGTGCGCATGTCGTGGTTCTGATGACAGTCGAGGGGGACGAGAGGGATGCACTGATCGAAAAAAGGGCCAGAGACTCGTTACGGTACAGCTGTCGTAATGCGCGGGCCGCAGGGCAGGCGTGGGATTCCAGCTTGGCTGTCCTCCCAGGCGCGTTCGACAGGCCCAGACCCGTTGAAGCTACGGTAAGCTGTTCGGCGGGTGGAGGCTGAATTATTCCGCCAGGGGGCCGTTTGGTACATGGGACCCGCCTGATTATTAGCGCTGCCGGTGTCCAGGGGTCCTTTAGCGGTCTGGCCCGGCAGAAACGCCAGTGCTCGCATTACATCATCAGATGCACCCCAGCTTCACTGCCTGTTGCGGGCAGCATCCAAGTAGCCGACTTGAGCTAGCCGTTCCGAACTCGAGTTACCGAGTATCGGTCCTTAAAATAACATCGACTTGCTGGTGCCAGAGGTTCAAGAGCTGCGTCTCATCGTGTCTAGACTTGCCAATCACCTCAATCAACACTATAAGCGATCATTCATTGCTTCAACCAATTTTTAAATCAATTCAAGAGTGATAGGCTACGGCTTACACAATTCCAAGTCGTAGCATTGCATCCGACGGTCTATCATCATGGCGGCAAGGTCCTCTTCAATTGTCCGCCGGGCGTTGCTCTATGGTGACTACAGCGACTCTGACAACCTAGAATTCAACTGACGAGTCTAGTGCCCTCATCATCGGAAAAGATGCTGACCAAATCGCTGGGCCTAAAGTCCGACAACGTGACATATGATCTTGAGGACTCTGTGACACCCTCATTGAAGTCAGAGGCTCGAGGTCAGCTCCGGTCTTTCCTCTCCAAGCATAAGTCGCGGCCGTCTTCTATAGGCGAATTGGCGGTTCGAATCAATGCAGTGGAGACCAAGTTTGCTCTGGACGACTTGACATCTCTAGGCTCGCTCCCAAATATCGATGCTGTCGTTGTTCCAAAGGTCAACTCCGCTGCCGATTTGACTTACGTTACCGATGTTTTGCGTCATGTAGCCCCCGAACGACACACGGCGACATCACAAAATCCTATCAAAATCATCGCCTTGATCGAGTCTGCACGTTCAGTTATGAACCTTTCAGAAATCTGCAAAGCGTCGCCATACCTTAGTGGTCTCGTCTTTGCGGCCGAAGACTTTGCCCTGGATTTGTCGTTGACTAGAACGCCATCCCTCACCGAGTTCCTCTACGCACGCTCCGCCATTGTAACTGCTGCCAAGGCCGCCGGCTTACCTAGTGCGATCGACCTTGTCTGCACCTCCTACAAGGGAGAAGAAGGCCTCAAGCGACTGGAAGAGGAGTCTACCGGAGGAAAGTCCATGGGTTTCAATGGAAAGCAGTGTATACATCCAAACCAGGTGGAACTTGTCCAGAAACTGTTTGCCCCTGGCGAAAAGGAGGTCGAGTGGGCAGTGCGTGTTGCAATCGCAGACGAGAAAGCTAGCAACGCGGGCCGTGGAGCCTGGACGTTGGACGGTATGATGATCGACGCACCGGTGACCGGAAAGGCGAAAGCGATAATTGCGAAAGCAGAAAGATGTGATATAGACGTGGCAAGCCTCCGAACGAAATGGAAGGACCAGCAGCCTGAGTAGACTACGTCGCTAATGAAAGTAATTTGGCCGCCAGAAGGCGAGCATTTCCTCCTTTTCGTCTTTATCGTACTTGTCGTCCTCCGGCTGTTTTTTTTGCTGCTGTTCCCAGTATTGGTTACTTTGATCGGGTCGCTCGCCATGATATCTGATCTCAGATAGTTCCTCTTCCATTCGGTCGAAAGCTTCCTCCGGGTGCCGCCGACCGGGTTCTGTGAGGGGTTGGTTGATCGAAACACCCTGCGGTATCAGAGATCGAGCCTCTCTGAACGTGTCTGAAGGCGCTCCGAGTCGATCATCATGCTGCCAAATGTGAGCCTCATCGGAGGGGTTGTCCACGTATCCTAAGCTCTCAGGTCCCAGTACCTCCTGTTCGACGCGAGCAATGAAATCAATTATGCTTTCCGACCGTTGAAACTGAGACGGATTGAACCTTGTCATAGAACCATGACCATTTGTTCGGGGGCGAGAAAAATGATGAGGCTTTTTTGGTTGATTGACCCGAGATGTCGTCCATGGGAAAAGCTGTGGCGGCCAGAAGGTTTCTCCCCTATGGTCAATCTCATAGGTCAGATGATTATAGGAGTTGTTGTCAAGTAGTTCTTCTTCGGGTAAGGCAGAGTGGTTAGGTTCTTCCCTTCCAGATAGAGCATCTGAGGCTCTTTTATGTTGCCAACAAGGTACTAGAGGCACGGCAGACAGTTCGGGCGCCAGGAATTGCTCATCAGACTGGTCAACAGTTGCTTCATGCCCGAGCTCGACGTCACCCTTGGCACACACGTCACTTTTTTCAGCTACCGGCATAGTTGCTTTAGCAATATTTGATATGATCGTCTGTGCTTCCTGGATATTATTCTTTGATGTTGCTTGCGTTTTCGCAGAGAGGTCAATGGTTGGTGGTACCAAATACGCTTGCATAGTCGTGGATGATCGTGTCGTAGGAGCGGCAGCCTTGCGACAGGACTCTCCGTTGGAGTCCTTGTGTATCTGTCCGCCAGACGGCTCGTTCAGCGCTTTTTCTGTAGTTGAGCCCACCAAGACCTCCGCCCTGGTATCGGCCGTATTCTCCAGCACAAAAGAATCGCGAGCGACTGACAAACTCCTGGATTGCTTCAGAACGCTAGGTGAAAGTGGCGATTTGTCTGTAGTCATGACTCCCTTGTCTAAATACCGAATAATCATCGGCTGTTTCCGGGAAGCTTCGAAGTTCTTGGACTCTCCATCAGGATGCACCTCTTGTTTGCGTCGACGTAAATCATGCGACGAGACACGAGCGTTTCTATTTATCTCAGCACCATCGAATACACCAGTCTCTCGAAGCGCCTCTCTAATCGGCTCAGGGGTGCTACTGTGGTGTCGGTCGAAAGAGTTGCCTGGTAAGGATGTTTGATGATTGCCACTGGTGGCCCAAGTGACATAAGTCGTAGCTCTACTGCTTGACCGACCATGTTGAGCTGGCGCCACGTAGGTCTTGTCGTGGATGTGGTAGCGTTGGTCGTCTCTCAAATAATCTGACCCCGTAATGCTTCTAGTTGACAAATGGTCGTCGCACGCCGGAAGGTTCTCAGGCAGTCGGTCCTCCGATTTCTAATCTTCGTAGCCATCACGAGATCGCCCTCGGCCGGCGATTGGGTGTCCTGTTGTAGGCGTCTCCTTGCGACGAAGAAACGTTGATATTTCCACCAGCTCAATCTCTCGCCGTTGTCTAGCCTTGGCTTCTAAGCGTTGCTGTCGTTGCCACGAGTACTCGCGTGATGGAGGCTGCTCGACCGAAGACATGGAGTTGTAGGCTAGGTCTACAACTACAACAATTAGTTGCGCGTTCAGAATGTCTGGGCAAATAAACTTACCAGGCTTTGACGAAGATATCTGCCCATTTTGAAAGAGGCCTGGCGTCAGGCACGGCTGGAGCTACAAATTCGTTAACCAAGATTTACTTGGATATCCAATGCTTACTCACCGTGAGCCTGTCGTTCAGAACGGCTTCAGGTTGGAAGTTGTTCATGACATCTCGGCCCGATAAGATTGGCTTCTTCGGCACGTCTTCCGACCGCCTGGCAGTCTCCTCAGGGGCCCTACGTCGCTTTTCCTTGGGCTTCTTCCGAGAATAGTAACGGTCTTCTCTTGTTTTGTGTCTCGTTCGTTTCTCAAACCTGGGCGGGGAACTATCTGCTGATATGGGGAAATCTGTGACTCCTGTCACAAGAGAGCGATGGATGGGCCCATGGCTAGTTACCGCTATAGATGGCCTGGCTTTCTTTGTCATCGGCTCGGGGATGATGGAGCTATCTCGTGATGGGGCGCGCTTATGACCACCTCGGACAGCGTTCTGGAGGGAGATCCCGTGCGGCCTCCATTCTGGAGTTTGAGCATTGCCCTTGTCCTGATTTGACTGTAGTCGCTTTGCGGACTCTCTAGTATCGACGCCTCGAGGACTGACATTGGCAAGCCAGTCTTCCACAATGTCATTGTCACTTCTGGCGGTTTCGAGTAGACTGCCATCCGAAGCCTGATTCACCCTTCTCGACCTAGAACGGCTCATCCGCTCTTCTTCCAGGTATGGGTGCCTTGTTGCGACGGGTCTGTCGCTAGAGCGGCCGTGCTGGCGACGATGCAGGTCCAGTTGATGATCCTTGGCCGCACGACTGCCCATCGTGCTCTGTTTCCGCGCAGGTTTGGGGCCCACAGAGACTAACGGTCCAAAGAACTTCAAAAGAGCAAACTATGGCGGGCACATGTAGTCTGGACATTTCCAGCCTTGAAGCTTGAGCCCGACGCTGAACATGTCTCTAGGAAGCACATTCTTGGTAGAACGGCAATAGCTATCCACACGGTATGGGAAATACCAACACCCCGTACCCTGAGGATGGCATTTCTCTCCCAGTTCCGAATTCACTTGGTCCTTTCTTCGTTTCTTTTGCAAGGCGAAGAAAGAGGTTCCTCGCTCACGTAAGGCAGGTTATAGGCAATGTGGAGCTCGCTTCCGACACAGAAAGAGGTCGACTGATGTTCCCACATGGGAAGGAACGGTTTACCTGATATTAGGCGCTAAGATTGCTGTGCAGACCAGACAGGGCAAGCACGAAACCTTTAGGCTCTAGCCCAAAGGCCGAGGTCCTTCCATCTTGATCTGACGTGCGGCAATACCTTCCATTTCCTAGGAACCATTACTTGCCTGAAAGTGGGCCGGATTCAACCTCACTCAAAATCTGCAGACTGTCGGTTCTAGTCTCCAAGCTTCCAATGCAATGTCATTTTTGGCACACCTAGATACCATTGCTTCCGCCGGTTCAATCGACCTGATGCCACTTAGCATGCGAGGTTTTCAAAAGTAGACCTGTTGACATCAGCTCTTATTCCAAACGAGTCTTGGCTAATAGACGCAGTCCCACCCAGGCCACAGTTGTTGAGCAGCTTTTCGCCTCTGCACAAATGCCTCCCAGTGCTTTCCAAGCTTTCCCATGTCGGGAATTTGCTACCACGACTGCGAGGAAGATTCGCCGCCTACCTTGAAACTGACTTGAACTATGTCCTTCGGGTATACCATGAGAGGCCAACCTCGAGCGCGAAATTCGCAGCGCCTAAGGTGCCGGCGTGTAAGACGGGTGAGCTGAAGAGAAGGTGAACGCCTACACACGACGCTGGAAAAACTCCTAGAAACCCGCAGCATGTACATACGGATATGGACAAGTAAACCGTGGCTCAATCCAGGCTCTGATATGGCCAAGCCGTGATTCGACGCACCCACGGCGGCAGGTGGGACAAGTTGGCACATTTCATTTCGCGAAGTCCCGCGTGAAGGGCATCGTCGGGCAGCATGACACCATGACCATTCCGCTTTGTTTCTTGGGTCAAGCGACAACCATCATCGGCTGGCCGGCGCACTTGATATGCAGGCGACGCGAACCTCAAGTTGCGGCTGTCTCAGAATGCCAAGACATGGCCCTGTAGAGACGGAACATGTCCTGTATCGAATACCCGGCCGAGTTCTATTGATAGCACCACCTTGGCGATGAGGGCAGCCGTACCGCTCTCGACCCGTCCTGACAGATGCTTGACAGCTGGACATGCTGGCTCCTGTGCCTGTGGCCGCGAAATATGCTCAAACGAATCTCGCACGTTATACACGCCTGGTCTACCAACAAATCCACTTCACATCGATGCGAATAGTGCGGCAAGAAGCTGTGCCTGCATTCATCACATGACTTTGAAAAGATGCGGAGCACGAGTCTGCCAGAGTTTACCGGAGCTAAAGCATTGTTTCCGGACTCGATGTCGCCAATCCTCCGTCCTCTTTGAGAGTTTCTGGGCGACAATGCCTAATCGTCGGGGAATCGGGTACCCAAGAAATCGCGTGCAGTCAGGTGCAAGTAGCTTTGGAGATCAGCTCAAGAGACAATTCGCAGGGTCGTATCGTCCGTGACGACGCACGTGGCTACAAGAGCTCCCCCCGGACAGGTCATTGCGCAGCGGTATCTCAGGCTCTCTATATGTGTCGATAACGACGCTGGCCCTAACAAGCTCTTTGCTTTTGCAACCAAAAATCAGGATGTGGACCTCGAAGAAGGCGCAGCAAGTTTCACCGTCGTCCGGTCAAGACCTTTTAATTATAGACGGTCCCTGGCAGTTTCGAATGTCACTGGGATTCCCAGAGAACAACCCCGTGCTCCTTCCAACCGCCAGCCCTGCCGCGAGCGTACGACTATACGATATGCGTCGATTAGCTACCTATATTCAACTTGCGAAAGCCAAAATCTCATCGTGGGAGCAGCAACCAAGCGGTGTGAAAATCTAAATGCTGCCGGAGCATGGAGCCATCCCCAAACCTTGGTATTCCCGGCTGGATCGCGGACATGTGCATTAGGTTTCCTGCTGGTGGCATTCCGGAGGCCAAGTTGCCCCTCCATCTCTCGACTTGAAGGCCCCCATAATCGCTGGCCCATGCGACATATGACGGCGGCTATATTTCCATGGGTACGTAGTTTAAAGGTTCCACCACTTTAGACCCTACTGATGAAGTTCTCTAGCCGTTGACACGTCGTTGCGTCACATCATACAGTCGATATCAAAACTCTTTCAGGGCGGCGCTGCTCGATTGTTGACGATGAAACTAAATTGAAAGTCTGAGTCGCAAGGACGGCAACTAATATGACTGAGCCCGACGTCGCCAAGGTGTATTGCTACTGGTCGTTGTTGCGCTGACGTCTGTGGAGCGGCTCAGGATTGTCAAGTTATTTAATGTCGCGTCGCACGAAACGGACAATTGTCGGGCGAGTAGGTACCAAACGTCCCGAATGTCTCGAGGTCGAACGTCGAGGAGAGTTGAGGGGTTGTTTGTGCGCCGTGCGTGACTTGGGGGAGGGGCAGTCGTGGCCAAACCAAGTTGACGATACGACAGAGGGGGTGACGGCCGTCGACGTCTCCACTGGATCGACCAGCTCCACTAGCAAGGAGAACTTGGACCACAAGATGCATCCACAAGGAGAGGTTGACTTCACGACTTCAGCAAATTCACCCATATCGCAAAGGCTGCTCATGGGCCTCTCGCTGGTCAGTGCCTCGCGGGGAGTGGAGCCTCAAGGAGACGACGGCATTGAGCGTTTTGCGCCAAAAAGAGGTTGCTTACCGACTTCTTGTTAGCTGCTGGCCCTAGAGCTCTCCCAAGACGGACTGCTTCGCGTGTCGCCTCGCATGAGTAGTTAATGCCGGCAAAGGAACTCTCGCCTTAGAAAGCTACTTGGTCACATCTTTGCGCATGAGAAAGAAGCATCTAGGCCAAGGTCACGGCGGAACGGCAAGCCGAGGTTGACGAGGGTAGCGTGACGAGAGCAAATGGCTAGAACCCTGGAGCGCATTGGACGACAAGCCAGGGACGGACTACAGACCGACACCACCCATGGACAAGTTTGACGAGTGAGAAGACGATCGAAGTCATCCAGGCTTTCTCCGGGACGCCTGCGTGGGATACAGGCTGCACTCGCAGTCGCCAGCAGCATGGCACGAACATGTCAGCAAACAGATGGTCAATTGCGCTACGACGCAGCAAGGGCAGCGGCGACGGCACGGGTACGGCGAATGTCGCAATATGCTGGCCGGGCGAATTCAAACGTATAGGGACGCACATTTGAGCATCAGTCAGAATTGGCCGCCTCCCGGAGCCCGTCACGCCGCACATCTGGAATGCAAGCCGAGTCGAGAACCGGTTCTGCAGGCTCTGCAGCGAGGTGCAACACTAGGAGACTCCACTTTCAGGAGAAGGTGGACGCTGGAGAATGATGTTGCAGCTCCAAGATGTTCATCTTGCTTCAAACTGGGCATGGTCGAAGGAGGCTGTGCAAAGTGTGGGGTCGAATAGGAGTGTCACTCTTGGTCCAGTGCGTCCGCAAGTGACCAGGCCAAGCCTGTCGTCTCGCGCAGGTGTTTCCAGCACGATTATGGCGGACACAGATGCCAATCTGTTTCTTTCTGCTGTTAGGATAGCACCCTGTCGACTGTCCTCCCTCTTCTTTCTCAACCAACTTCCAGAAACCCAGCCTGACTGCCGACGGAGTATACCTCATGTCTCTTATGGCGCCCCTCGTCGGCGTTGCCAGCTTCAGCTCGACCATCGTCTATCTAGCGGCTCCCCAAAGACTAGCAACGCCGGCGTCTGTGCGGATGCGAATTACTTGACTGGCTGCAAGGAGGGGCAGCTAGATCGTACATCATGGGCTGATTTCCCATGGCCGAACTTTTCCCCCTCGCCTGCGATCCGGTAGTAAGCCTTTTTCGCCTGCTCACACCCTGCAATAGCTGGGTTCATGGGTTTTAAGAAGCTTTCCGTGGTCCTGGTCTCTGCATCTCATCCCACCATACTTGCAGGCGCTTGGTTAGTCAGGTCGACCGCAAGTGTGAGCACATTGGGCACAATGATGAGCCGTATCAAAGGACGGGCAGCAGTGGAGTTTCTCGACATCTGGGTACTTGGCACCGCATTGAGCGACAAGCCGTTGGCTCCTGGTGATGGTGATAATGCTGACGGGGCATGAGCCCCGGACGAGAGCTCACAGAATGGACAGAACGCCTCAGAAGAGCAGCTGCCTGGAGGTCGAGTGCGTAAGTGCGTGCGTCTCGTCTTGCGTTGTCAGAGTTGAAGTGCTACGGAACGCGACAACGTCCACGAGGCCGGGCCGCGACAGCTCGGTATCGAAACCAAAAAGCTGCGATATGGTGGTTTCTCAAAAAAGACATCCACTCGAAGACGGTTTGACGGGCGGCATGCATACAAAGGGGCATTCGCATATCACTTGGCTGGATTGGACTGATTCAGAATGACTGAATGCGAATGGCAGCGCCGCGTCTGGGTTGTATGTCTCGCGGCAAGAGAAAAGACGGTCATGGATGACAGAAGTATCGCGGGGATGTACATGTGAGCTTTTCGTCTGTTTGATGCTTGTTTGGGAGGGGAAGCTAACCCTGCTACCACACTTATGCTCTGGTCGAAACATTGATGGGCGTTGGCCCTTTGGACATTTTCCCTTCCACAACCCCCCCCTTGCGCAGAAGAGCCGAATTTGGGATGTGGGCGGTCCCCTCTTGGGGACCCCCCTCCCCTTGACACCACACTAGATGCTCATGGATGGATTTTCATGGGTCCCTCTTCCCGGGCAGATCTCCCAGATGTCTTGGCCCTTGCCTCGTGTGCGGCGTTCCAGCAGCAACAGCGACAGCAGCGGCGGCGGCAATGATCCAGGAAGCAAGCGGGCCTGTAAGAAAGACGCATGTACCTCTCAGGGTGAGGCAAGGTACCGTACGTAAGTGCCTACATGCCCTCCTCCCCGCAGGCAAGTCAGTTTTCCATATTGTCATGCTCACATCGCATGTATCGAAAATACTACTGATCTTGGCCTGCCTTTCGCCGCCGCCGCTGTTGGATTCGCCCCAGCGGACCCTGTGTCCATCGCATATAATATGAGGAACAGGGACGCGCCTGAGAATCGGGATGGAGGGGGGACAAACCGAAGGCCGTGGGAAAAGGAACGAGAGAACGACAAAGAAAAGCGCGATTATTCGAATCCGACAGTGACCTGCGCCTGTCCCTGCTTCCGAAGCTGTTTTTTTTTTTTTTTTCGTTCCCCATTCCCCTTGCCTACTGCTACCTTATCGTCAGGGATCTGGTACTTGGTCTGACTTATTGAGGAGAGGGAAAGGATTCCTACCGGCTTTTGTCCCGCATTGTGATTTTTCCATTTACCTACCCCAAGAATATTACTACGTCTTTGTTCCACTTTCTCGACCTTTCTCTCAACGCATTTTCGACTCCATCACAGGAATTCGACTCGAGATATTGGGTGCCGGGAACCAATCACAAACAGGTATGTTTCCGCTATCCAACGCGTCTTTTACCTCTCTCTATCTCTCTTTTCCTCTATATGGGTCTTTTCCAAAGATACGAACACGGTTCGTTTTTTCCCCTTAGAAACAAAAAAAACTGTTTCCGTTGTACTTTTTTCTCTCTTTCTTTTCTATCTTATTCTTTGCCCGTTCCTTTCGCCTCAGGCCGAGACCAACCAACCCTGCCGTTTACCATTGTACCTGGTCATAGTCATTAGCGAGGAAAGGTACCTTGCATGCCGTCATTCAAGACGTCTTGTTGCCCGTCGGTCAATTGAATTGAACCACCCCTCCTCCTCCACTTGCCCCGACTCGTTGGACCCCTCCACGTTCCCGCCACGAGCTGTTGTCCATCTCGCATCGTGCCCGCACGGCGCCTTCCAGTCCCAATCCGATCAAGAACAGCCGGCGGCGGCGACAAGCACGGAAGACAACGGACAAGTGCTTGGCTGGGACCAGCGACGGCAAGCCGCAAATGGGGTCATTGGGAATACCTACCTCGCAAGCAATTTGTTGCACCTCAGGAAGCAAGAGCAAGAGGCAACGCCTGCTGCTGGTGCCCCTCACCTTCCCTCGTCCCCCCGTTCACCCCCCGTTCCCCGTTCCGCTCCTACCTTGCCTCTTCCCATTTGCTGTGTGTAAGGTACGAAGTACGGAGTGCGGGTAACGGAGCACCTTGCCTACCTTACCTTTCCTTACCTTACCTTGCCTTACGGCAGCCATTCCTGTCCAGTCAACTCGCCTTCCACTCCCACTCCCACACTCATACACACCAAACCTTACCTGCCTTGCCTTGGGCCCTTTTTGCACTGCCTCAACGCCCTTTCCCTCCATCCATTCAGAAATTTCCCGCTAACCAGCATTTCCTTTCTCCCCTCAAGGTGGCCTTTCTCACTCTTCTCCTTCTCACCCCCTCCTTCCTTTTTTCGATCCATCAAAGCCCAGTCTCAATCTTGACGTCTGTCATCACAATCACCACACTCCTACCAACACCAACACCAACACCGCCCACCTAATTCCAACCACCAGGTCCGTATCTTACTTCCCTCAATCCCTCACTCTCCTCGGAAAAAATACTGCAACAAATCAATACACACCTCGGCCTCTTCCAGCGGTCAACGGATTCTCTCTCTCTTTTTTCTTTCCTCTCATCCCGTGGCGACGACTGCAAACTTCTTTGTTTGACACAGCCCACAACCCCATCTGCTTTCCATCTCGCACTGCCATCCTCCGGCCTGGAAATTGTACGTTTGCTTTGTCGCCCATGTCGGGCCACTTTGCGCGCTATCGTCAAGTGACAAAGGCCATCACTGGACACTGCCTCGTCTCTTTGCTGCACAGGTGGATGCGAAGTCTCCCAATGTTGACTCGCATGCTCAACCGAGAAGTGCCAAAAGGAGCGCTTTCGTCCCTTGACTTTCTTCCCTCGCCATCAAGAACCCTGCTTGGCGCCACACAGAAACCACTTGCATTTATGCATTGCAGCCTCCCTCGGACTTTTTTTGTTGAACAGATCCTAACTCGCAAGACAAACAGATAGTTCAGCAATCTCTTTGCAAGAAACAAGACACATTACTCTACCATCATCATGTCCAAGCTCTTTATTGGGTACGTTTCCCCCCTCTTGCGCTGGCGCATTGTGCACGTCGACAATATCAAATAAACTTTTGCTGACAAGATTTCCAACAGCGGCCTTGCATGGCACACTGAGGAAGGCACTCTCAGACAGAAGTTTGAGGAGTTTGGTGCCGTTGAGGAAGCTGTAAGTACTGATCGCCCGGTCCGAAGAAACTTTCTTGAGAATGGCGTCGCCATAGACCATGGAGAGACACTTTGTCCCAACATTCCAGTAAAAATGAAAAGAGAGAGGGTCTATTTTTGTGCGTGAGAAAGAGAGAGAGATCTGACCGCTATTCTTCCCCTGCTTGAAGGTCGTTGTGAAGGACCGCGACACTGGCCGCAGCCGTGGATTCGGCTTCGTCCGCTACACTCAGGATAGTGACGCTCAGAAGGCCATTGCTGCCATGAACAACGTCGAGTACGCTGCCTTTGCGAAACTGCTTTCCATTGCTTGCTTGTCCCGGCGCAATGATCGTGGGAACCCTTCAGCCGACTAACACATCAACTTGCCAGGTTTGACGGACGCACTATTCGCGTTGATAAGGCCTCTGACAACGGTCCCCGCGGTGGCGGTGGCTACCGCGGCGGCTTCGGCGGCGGTGGTGGACGTGGCGGCTACGGTGCGCCCCCTGTGCCTTACGGAGGCGCTCCCGGTGGATACGGCGTTCCCAACATGGGCTACCAGCAGCAGCAGCCTGCTTACGGCCGCGGCTACCCCCCTCAGCAGCCCTACGGCGGTGCTCCTCCCCAGGGTGAGTTGACGATGTCGTCTCTGTTGCTGATTCGTCTTGCTAATACCTCATAGACGGCTACGCGCCCCAGGCTCCCTACGGATACGCCGACCCGTCTCAGCAGCCCCAGGGCGGCCGAGGCTATTAGCGCTCGCTAGATTTCGGAGATTCGTTGCCCGCTAGTTGTCGGTTTTCGCAACTCGGGAACATGCGGCCAAGACATGTTGCCGACGCTCAACTGCTCCGAGTCTGACAGACGTTCGTGTGCGCGCCCGTTGGTTCGATCGAGCTTTGGTGATATTCTTCGCTGCAACACAATACCCGGTTCTTCTGTTGCACTGGATCTCTGGAAAATAAAACCCCAACCCGCGGTCAAAAGGGTTGGTAACGGCCTAGTCTTCTCAATTGGAATGGTTTTCTGCTTCTGTCCTTGATCTTCACCCTTGTTGCCCCAAAATGGTTGCTGCCACTAAAGTTTGGGTGTGTTTTCCGCATGCGGTGATGGTTCCTTTTCCGGTGATCCTTGTGGAGTATGGGTGGGCGGCGATGTGGGTTTGTATTTGGGAATGATGCAGAGTGTTGTCGGATTCATCGTGGACGCCAACGGATTTGTGGTCTAACGCTACATGTCTGCCTGACTGTCTCTCTTGATTGACTCTCTATGTTAAATGTTCTGAAACAAGAATGTTGGTTGACATGGGCTCCAAGGCGTTGTTGCACCACGGCCAAAGGGGAAAGCTTGAAAAAGGGGTTGGGTGGGCAGAGGCTTGATTTTCAAAAGGGGAAAAAAAAGAAGAGGCGAAAGAATGTGCAGAAAAACTCTTCAGTCTGTCTTTTCAGTCTCCTCCTGTTCCTTGACACTGGTTTCTTGCTTGAAAGTACCGCCGACGGCTGACAGCGGTGGTTGCGTAGCGTCGTGGGATGTCTCCTCGGCGGAGATGATGGCCCGTACTCTATTGGAGAGGTCGGTGATGTGGACGTCGCCACTCTCCGGGCTCAGTCCGTCAAGAGCTTCTTCGAGGCCAAGAAGGTAGTCGATGTTTAGCCCACTCGGGCCGCGGCTCTTACGGATGTGGGCGGCGAGAGCCTGAGGATCCTGTGGTCCGACAAACTGGTCATTGTCCGGGGTGCCAATGTACACAAGTGTGCGGATTGGCTCGGAGCCATCAGCTGGGTAGAAAGGGGCGTAGTGGATCGTGTAGCCGTTGATCTCGCGAATGTCAAGATAGTCCTTGACTTCGGCGACCTTGTCTGCCTTGATACGGTAGGCGACACCCCAGACGCGTTCAGGTGCCGAGTCGTGGTGGTCGGTCAGCTGCTCCCAGAACGAGCGCTCTATGAGCGTGACAACACGGCCAGGAGCCTCGGGTGTGCCTCTGTGGTCTTGACTAGTGAAGGGGTCAGGACGTCTTGATGTGAGACAAGATGGCGGGTGTTACAAAGCCCTTGAGGGTCAAATGGTTACCTTGCCTGCGTGAGGTGTTAGTGAGACTAGTGGAGACGAGGGGGAGGCAGGACGTGAAGTGGAAATAAGCATTGGTCGCAGCGGGCACTAGGGACGCAAGGTGGCCTTGTGTTCCACGGGGCTGGATGAGACGGCACGCCCGGGGGAGGTAAGGGAGAGACGAACCTGCCAGAAGCGACGGACGTATCCTGTCACCCATCCAGGGATTCTTCTATCTGTGGGGGGGTGGACGACATAGATCAGCCGACGGCTCGGATGGCGGCAAGGGGCAGGAGGAGAAGGAGGAGGAAGAGGAGGAGGAGAAGGAGGAGGAGGAGGAGGAGGAGGAGGATAGAAGGGGGGTGTGGTGTGGACGAGGCGAGGCTAACCGAAGTGCGGCGGAGGCTTCCATATCAGACTCCTGGAAGACGGGGTTTGTAACGTTAGCACCGACATGTGTGAGGCTTGTCTACGGCAGGCAGGGATGCGTGCGCCATGCGGGAGGGCGGGAGGAGCTGGAGGACAAGAGCAGCCCAGTCCAGTCCAGCCCAGTAGGGAGAGCGGCAGGGATCGAGGGTGATCTCGAAAGGTCGAGAACGTACCCATAACCGTACAGCCAGAACTCGCCGCTGCCGTTGGTGGAGAGGTCGGTGTCGGGCATGCCGGCTGTCGTAGATTTGAAGTCTGCCTGAGACGATGTACAGCACGAAGAAGGCGAAGAGACGGGATATGAGAGACGACAGTCCAGTTGTTGCTGTCCACCGTGGATTCGAGATGAATACCTACACTTGAGAAGAGTGTTACAACTGGTGTTCACGATGCCAAAGCCTAGAGGAATTTCGAGCAAATCAGTCCCACTCCGGTGTAACTCGCTTCGGACCCTGCACACACACACACACAAAACATAAAAGAGAAGCGGCAGAGGCAGCTCGGCGATCCAGCTTGGATCGATCTCTCAGGGCACTTGCCCAGGCGCGTGAGGGCCGAAGGTTACGAAAGCCATTGGTGACGCCCCAGAGCGGCAAACCGCAAGGGCCGAGGTGGGAGTTGTGTGAGGGGACCGCATGAAGCCGCGCGTACACATGTTGGAGATAGGTAGACAGACAAGCAGACAGGCAAACAAACAAAACAGAACACGACGGGAAAGGTCAGATTTGAGGGGTAATGAAGAGAGGTGGACGAGCAAGACGATGAGGAAGAGGAGGAGGAGAAGCAAGAGGAAGAGGAAGAGGAAGTGTTCTAGAAGGGGAGGGGACTGGAGGGTCTAAAACGGGCCAGGCGGAAAAGTCAAAGTGGCGGGCCTATGTAAGGTAGGGTAAAGTGAATCGGGGCGTGATCTTGAAGAGAAGGAGACGACGGTACATACAATTTTGGAATTAGAAGGCGGGGAAGAAATGGGAGACTGGAGAGGGAGACGGACGTGTTCCAAGTGATCGAGAAAGAACGGGCAGGTCGAGTTGATGGCCGCGAATCTGCAAAAAAGCTGGAAAGCATACGCAATCCCGCTTGCCGGCGTCCCGTGCTGGAGGCTCGGCGTTCTGGGGAGGGGCATTGGTGCCGGGGCTGTGGTGGGGCAGGCAGGGCAGACTCGCAGACTCAATGGAAGGGAAGGGAAGGGGGGAAAGGGAAGGATGTTAGGGTGGTACGGGCTGACTGTGGACGGTCACGCATACATGATGATTCGAAGACGAAGAGAGGGCCTCAAATCACTCACTACCTAGAGATGAGGCGCATGGCAGCTGTCCACATGCAAGATCCATCAGGTCGAACTACCTTACCTTACTGACGAGTGAGGTGATTACTGGTGCGAGGCCAAGGTCAGAAGAGGGACGGACACCTGCCAACTGGCCAGATCATCTCACCTCGGGTGCTGGCGAGTGAACGTGCCATGGTGAAATAAGCTTAAATGGGGATACACCTCAACCACCAGCTCCATCTCAGATGGTTGTCATGCCGCCCGGCCCGATGGTGTAGAGGACTTTCCCGTTACCTCAAGTGTGTGTGAGTGTGTGTGGTGTGTGGGAGAGCCCGGAGTTGTAAGGAATAAGTGTCATTCAGATAGGTAAGTACGGAGTACTCTCAATTACGTGTATACGTACCCCTCTAACGCATGGTCCGACGTTCATTCCTGGTCCTGAATCCTGTCAAAACTTACTCAATACGGCAAGTATCCGTAAGGTACGGAGTATACCGTATCCCACACCTCTCAGGCTCCATTCCGAGGCAGCACTTGTCTGATGATCAAGCTGAAGCCTTAGGGATGCGCAGTGCGGTCGGTGGGCGATTGCAATGATTGGGGAGACGAAGAAAAAAGAAAGAAAAAAGAAGGAGGCTCCAGGCTGAAATTTAAAGTGTGCAGGACTACGCAGGACCCCTTTCTATGGCTCCGGTCGCGATCTGTATCTGGATCGTATCACGTACCCGGTCCCGAGACGAAGAAAAGACCCCTTGGGGCCATTTAGTGGATACAGGGGACATAACTAAGTACCTACTCCGTAGTGCACCACGCATGTCATCACCCACACAAAGACAGAGGCAGGTAAGCTAAGTCAAACTACCTTAGCAATAACGGTATTGAAGATACGAATTATCCGTACGCTAAGCGCGTATGTGGCCGAGCTGTCCCGCGCTAGAGCCCTCGTGGGTGTTTTCTTCTGACGGGATTTGCGCGGACCTGCCCGTCTCTTTCTCTGAGATCTAAAACGTTCAGTGTTCAATGTTGTCTGTGATTGCAATGGGTATTCTTTCCCATCCTATCTGCTTTTCTCAATCAATAGCTCGCAACCCCCCCCCCCCTAGCCCCCGGTGCGGCGTTGGCTTAGTAAATCCACCCGATAGCCACAGAACCAGGAACATCAGGCGAACGTGGCGGGGCCACGAAACCGAGCTGGGCACAGACTAGACTGACTTGACTGACAATGACTCTGATGGGTGGCTCTGACGATTGATGAACTGACTGAATGGCAAATTGCTGAAAGAAGTCGAGAGATGACGAAAGAAGACAGAATAATACGTACGGAAATATGGAACCAGTACGGTATCGGGAGAGAGGCAGACAGCCCTGGCGTATCCGTACCTTCCCCGGTGCCTGGTATCCGTAAGGTACCTTACTATGTACTCCGTACTCCGTACAGAAGAGTAAAAGGGAAGGAGCAAAAACAGGCATCAGAATCCAAAAGCGAGCAAAGAAATCATTTGGAGCTTGTTCTTGTTCTGTTTTTAGCCCGTATCCCCAGAAATGCAATTTCGCACACATCCACTCAAGAGGCTGACTTTGCAAACCATCGCCTGTTCATCCCGTCTCCCGCACTCCCGCTGGCCTATGGTGTCCTTTTTTTATCCATTCGCAATCTCTCAAGTGCACCGCGAAGCCGTAAACCGCCACAACGCTTGCGCATTGTACCCAAATCTGTCCAATCTGTTTCGTGACGTGATCCAGGCCCCGACTCATACGCACACCGAGCCTTCGGCTTCTTCCAACACCTCCTGTCATCAATAATACACGTACCTTCCCTGCACATCACCGCTCGTGCCATCCCGCGCACCCCCAAAAAGAAGCTGTCTTGTCCGGTCTTCCGTTTGCCGAGAGCTCCCATCTCTTTGCTGTCTGTTCAGTCTTGTTTTTCAAGGCCAGATAGCAGCCTCCCCCTCCTCTTCGTCATCTCCGCGACCTGTCATTTATTGCCCGTCTGCATTCCTTCCCCTCCTCCACCCGAACTGAAGAAGAGAGGTCGAAAGAAAGCCTTACCTTACACACCGCGATAACCACCTCCAGCATAAGTCAACCTACGACCGCAACTACTACCTTGGACATCAGCAAACCACCCATACTCAGCCCAAGCCTCACTGCACATTCGGCGTGCGGCTGAAACCAATTTCTGCATTCTCTTTACTGAGCTCAAGGCCCGATTGGCACTTTGTCCTCCTTCGCCGCAGCCTAACCCACCGGCCACCCAGCCCTACCTCTTGACTAGCGTGCCGACTGCCGCCTGACGTTGAGTCGCGGTTCCGCTCCCCTGCTTGCTTCCAGGTTCCATAACCCATCATTCTCTCTTGGCTTTTACATACAGCTACTGCGGCTCCCCTCTGCTCTCTCTGCCCACAGTAATCCCCCCCACCGTGCCAGCTTCATATACCCCAGGAGCCTCAATCCAGTCTCGCCTCCAAAGACCCTTCTCTTTCTTCTCTTGAACTTTTGCTTGCTCCGAATCCGCACCAATTTTCGCAATGGCGTACAACAGACCCTACAACCCCGATGAACTTCCAAGGTACGTTGCACAACACACCATTCATCTAGCCCATTGTTCATGGTCTAAATACCCAATCTCCTTCTTTACCCCGCCATGCTAACCCCCTCCTAGGTTCGCGGAACCCGAACAGGTACGTTTGCGCCCTCGGCCTCCGGTCACCTGACGACATTTCTACTACATTCATCCCATCGGCACCCGTCACCCCCTGGATCGCGCATCTTGCAGATAAACTAACATTTCCATCATAGAAGGGCGGCGCTGCCCCGGCACCTTCCCAGCAGCCCTCCCAGCAGCATCCTCAGCAACACTCTCAGCCTCGCTACGAAAATAAGCTTCCAGCCGTCCCTCGCGACGAGTACCACCGTCCCGATCCTCGGAACGACCATCGCCGACCCAGCCCCAACATGTACGGCGTCAGCTCTCCTCCTCCGACAGGCAACCCCCGCCCGAACGCCCAGCCCCGGCCACCCCCCAACTCCCGGCCGCCTCCTTCTCCCGCTCCCGATATGAGCGCAGACGGCGCAGATCCGACACTGCTGCCCCTATTCCGAGCGGTCGATAAGGATGGTGAGTGATGCTGCCGACGCCCTTTTGCAACGTCCGCCAACTAATGACTGTCTACAGGCACTGGCCAGCTGTCCGAGCGGGAGCTGTCAACTGCCCTCGTCAACGGTGACTGGACTGCTTTCGACCCTCAGACAGTTCGCATGATGATCCGCATGTTCGATTCCGATCGCAGTGGCACTATCGGATTCGCCGAATTTTGCGGCCTCTGGTCCTTCCTTGCGTCGTGGCGCACTCTGTTTGACCGATTCGACGCCGACCGATCTGGAAACATTTCCCTCGGCGAGTTCACCAACGCCCTCGTTGCTTTCCGTTACCGTCTCAGCCCTGGTTTCGTCGAGCTTCTCTTCCGGACGTACGACAAGCGTGGGGAAGGTGTCATGTCCTTCGATCTCTTCGTCCAGGCTTGCATTTCTCTGAAGCGCATGACGGACGTGTTCAAGAAGTACGATGACGACAGAGACGGTTACATCACCCTCAGCTTCGAGGACTTTTTGACGGAGATTCTCAAGCAGCTCAAGTAGGTCTGGCAAAAAGAGAGTCTAGATGTGGACTACAAGACCCAAGGGCTGGAATGGCCCGAATACACTTTTGGGCCACGTCGCATGGGGTAGCTTTCCACACAGTCAGGCAGGCAATGTTGGACTGCAAAGGAGACGTTGTCTCCATGATTTAAAGCAGAGGGAAAAGAAGAAGACGCGTTGTTCAGGTGGGAATATTAGATACCCCGGGTGAATGGGTGCAGGTAATGGAGAGGTATATCGTCTGGATTTGGCACTCTACTCACAAGGGGTGGAACTCAGGATTGAATGCATGATATAGGAATCATTTGAGGTGGAAATCATGG